GGTACAAGTAGGAAACCTAGAAGTGTTGTACCCTATAGTGTCTACCCCACTACAGCCTAGACAGACTATAGTATAAGAGTTTGACACACCCCCATAGGCAAAGTGGGGGAGAACAAGAGGTCACAAGACCAGTCAAGCAAAGCAAAGCAAGCTCAGGGTGGATCACAACGTCACCACACAGTCCGAGCACAAGAGCAAGGCCATAAGGCCAGTTCACATGCAAGATCATATATATATATAGGTAAACAAGCAAGTGCATGTATAGAAGGATCACAGTACAAGCAAGGTCAAGAAGTGAGCAAGTGAGGCCAAGTAGGCACAAGACCTAGCAACGTACAAAAGCGCTAATGATCACAAGGCGGAAGTGCCTTGGTAAAGATATCAGCAGTGTTGGCCTCAGAGGCCACGTAAGCAAGGCGCAGTTGACCACGCTGCTGCAGCTCACAAGCAAGGTAGTAGCGAAGCGCAATGTGCTTCGTTCTGTGCTCCAGTCTGTGCTCCCGACACAAGGCCAGCATGGCCTTGTTGTCTACGTACAGAACTGGAGGAGAACGAGGCGGCTCTCCGAGGTCAGTCAGTAGGTAGGTGAGCCAGCGTAGCTCCTGTGCAGCCATGGCCCCCGCGTACATCTCAGCCTCACAGCTAGAGCCGAGAACAGAAGACGAGCGGGTAGACCGCCACGAAACAGAGCCGAAGCCAAGGCTGAAGGTGTCACACTGTGACGACCGCTGCGTAGCCTGGTCGTCAGCCCAAGAAGCGTCTGCGTGACTAATGAGGACCACTCGACATCGCCCTCCAAGCACTAGCCCCATGCCCAACGTACTGCACAAGTAGCGCAACACCCTCTTCGCTGCAGCCATGTGCTCTGGTCGGTGTCTCCCAGGAGCAACATAGCGTGCCAAGATGCTAAGAGGGTATGCAAGGTCAGGTCGTGTGCAGGTCATCAAGTACATGAGGCAGCCCACAAGCTCTGGGTACGGGCCACTCGGCTCTACGGACTCATCCGAAGACAGAGCTGAGAGCGAGTGACGAGTAGACAGAGGAGTGGCCTGAGGCGAGGAGTACGTGAAGTCAAAGCGCTGAAGGACCTGCTGCACCATGTGTGACTGAGTCAGGGTAATGGTGCGCTGCGCTCTGTCCCGGGTGATCTGCAAGCCAAGGTAGCTGCGTAGTTCACCCAGGTCTGTGCACGTGTGTCTCTTCTGCAGCTCCGACTTTACGTGGGCTAATCCAGCAGTGTCAGCAGTGGCATAGACCAAGTCATCGACGTACACGAGGATGTAGAACGGCCGCAAAGAGGTGTCGGTGCGCAGAAACATCGACGGGTCGGCAGTAGAAGGAGCAAACCCAAGAGCCGCAAGTGTAGTCCTCAGTGTGTCGTGCCACTCACGGGGCGCCTGGCGGAGACCGTAGTCTGGCCGCCGGAGGCTTCACTGGGTACTAAGGGGAAACGACCCAGTGAAGCCAGGTGGGCGGCGCAGCCAGATCTCCTCGTGCAGGCTGCCGTGCAGGAAAGCTGTGCTGAAGTCAAGAGAGTGAAGCTCGTAGTCGCGCTGAGTGGCTATGTGCAGTAGCACCAGAAGAGTGGTCATCTTCGGGGTGGGAGAGAAGGTCTGAAAGTAGTCAACTCCCTGCCGCTGACTGAAGCCTCGAGCCACGTAACGCGCCTTGAAGACAGGCGGAGAACCCGGCGGCCGCTTCACCCTGAAAATCCACATGCCACTGACGATGTTCGCCCCAGGTGGGGGAACCTCGTCGACGTAGGCGCCCGTGGACTTCCAGGAAGCCATCTCTGCGTCCATGGGTGACTGCCACTGAGAGGAGTAGGGATCCTCGATCGCCTCAGCGTACGATCGAGGAGTCGGGATGTCAGGTGCATCCGGGTCTCCCTCGGGGGCAATCAACGTGGACACGAGATGAGGCAAAGCAGCCGCAAAACACTGGAACTCCTCCTGCCTGTCCTCAAGGACGTCCGTGCTAAGAGCACACTCACCCCCGACGGACGGAGGACAGACAGACTCAGACTCAGCAACAAGACTAGCAGCGTAGTCTAGACGACAGCGAGCAGCAAAGTCGACAAGCTCAGCAACCAAGGCAGACGCAGCAGTGGACTCAAAGGAAGGGTCAGTGACAACAGTAGCCAGGAGACGCGTGACAGTAGGACTGGCAGCACGACGAGAGTTTGACTCCGGGTCAGCAAGAACAGGAAGAGAGGACTCAGGAGGAGACGGCAACGGGACACGCAGAGGAGCAGTGGAAGGACGCAGTGCCATCTGGTGTATGCCTGGGACCGCAGGAGGACGCGGGCGCGGAGCACAACTACTAGTGCGAGCAGCACGAACAGGCGACGCAGGACGAGACGCAGGCTCACGACGCTCAGCAAGACCTCCAGTGGGACCAGTGTAGGGAGAAGGAGAAGGAAGAAGGGAGGCGGGCTGTAACTGTGACTGCGACTGGACAGGCTGCGGACTCTCTAAGGGAGGAGCAGGACCAGTAGAGGGCGGGAGACCAAGAACCTGCTCGAGGAGCGGAACAAAGTACGGCCGCGGCCGCGCAGCGTCTCCAGAACCAGCAGGGACAGCACCAGTACCCCCAGCGGCAGCACCAGCGCCAGCAGTACCTCCACCTACAACAGCGCCAACCCCAGCACCCTCAGAAGCACCAGCGCCAACACCCTCAGCAGCTCCAGCTCCAGCAGGACCGGCAGCTACAGTACCGCCAGCAGCTCCAGCAGTACCTCCAGCAGGACCAACTCCAGCAGCCCCAGCAGCACCCCCAGTCCTAGCAGCTCCAGCACCGCCAGTACGAGTACCTCCGGGACCAGCAGCAACAGTAGTACCTCCAGCTCCTGCAGCACGGCTCCAGCGCCAGGCAAACCACTCGCGCAGCTCCTGTGGAGAGAGTGGCTCCCGCCTCAACGAAGCACCGCCGGCGGCCACACGAGCAGACCCATCACCCCCAGGCTCCGCACCCCCAGACTCAGCACCCCCAGGCTCAGCACCCCCAGGCTCAGCACCCCCAGGCTCAGCATCCCCACACTCAGCAAACCTAGGCTCAGCACCCCCACGCTCAGCACCCCCAGACTCAGCACCCCCAGGCTCAGCACCCCCAGACTCAGCACCTCTAGACCCGGCACCCGCAGGCTCAGCACCTCTAACAGCAGTCAACAGCTACCTCGAAAGGCTCGGCTGCGTCTACCTAGGACACACCTGACAGGGCAGGACCCTGAGGGGGGAGGTGGTCTACCGGGGGAGGACCTGGCGCAAGGAAGAGTGGCGGCGGGAGGAGGGGCGCAGTGTGGTAGGGGAAGAGACGGTAGTAAGGCACCGACTCTTCAAAGGTGACGTCCTGGGAGGACAGAACACGGCGCGAGGTGGGGTGGTAAAACTGCCACCCAGGCGCGTCAGGGGGGAAGCCAAGGAAGACGCAGGGAACAGCACGGGGGACAGCTTATCTGCAGACAAGTCACGGACAAACGCCCGAGATCCCCAGACCCGAAACGCAGACGCATCTCCAACCTTCCCCGTCCACCGCAAGGTGGGGGAGGTCTCTGGCAAGGAGACCCGGGGCTGAAGGTTGAGCTGATGCGCTGCGTACTGAACCGCAAACGGCCACAGAAAATGGGGGGCAGCCGCATGGATCATGGACGTACGAGCGACGTCCATGACCATGCCAATGCGGCGCTCAACAATCCCATTTTGCTGTGGAGAGGCCGGAAGCGTGAAGGTCTGGCGAATACCCTGTGCACGACAGAAGGCTCCCAGACGGGCAGAGGAAAACTCCCCGCCTCTGTGAGAGTGCAGACGCAGAACAGGAAAGTCCGAGCCGAAACTCTCTCTGAGCTGGAGACGAGCTTCGCGGATCCAGTCTATCAACACCTCAGTGACGTCACCCTTGCTGCGCAAGGGGAAGGCTATGGTGTAACGCGAGTAGTCGTCAACCACCAACAGGAAGTAACGCTCGTGCCCCTGTCCACGGACGCGGGCAGGGCCCCACACGTCCATGTGGAGAGTCTGCAGCGGAGCCTCTGTCGGAGGAAACTCGGAGGAGTGAGGGGCGGCGCGTTTTCGTCCCTCGACGCAGGGGACGCAGGTAGGGGCAGGCCCCGGAGGTAGGGGAGGGAGAGACCGGGGGAGACCCGAGACAAGGACACGGGAGGCCATGCCTCGGAGACGAGGCAGGGAGGGGTGACCAAGACGGTGGTGCCAAAGGAGAGTCTGGTGGGACAGGAGACGACACGAGCAGGGAGCAGACTCAGGACCAGACCTGGACGCTGCAACAAACACCTGACTCGACGCAGGTACCTGGCCAGACTCAGCAGCCGGAGGAGACTCAGTAGTAAGTGTGTACAGGCTCGACCCTGGCCGACGGGTGAACGTGGCCAAGTGTCGGCCTGTCTGAGCACACGTGCAGTGGGTCACCCGCTGACTCGCAGGAGTGAACTGGTCAACCCCCCTATCTTGTAGGTCAGCTCCACTCACCAAGTTCGTAGAGAACGAGGGGAGGTAGAGACCTGACAGGGTGCCAGAGGGGGCTGCCGGGCACGGCAAGACAGTGGAGAAGCTAGCAAGGACAGGACCCCCAGAGGGGTCCGCCAGGGAGACTGCAACCGGCTGACTAAGCGGCGTAAGCGTGGTGCGGTCTCGAAAGAAGGAGCGGGAAGCACCCGAGTCAAGGGTGAAGGTGTGTAAGGCCTGAGCCGACGTAGTACCTGAGAGAGCAGACTCACCAGCACCTGGGGCAGCAGACGCACTAGCACCTGGGGCAGCAGATGCACTAGCACCTAGAGCAGCAGCCTCACCAGCACCTAGAGCAGCAGCCTCAATGCCCGGGTCAGGCGGAACACACAGGTAACAGTCACCCTCAACACTAGCAGACACAGCATACGTGGCAGCAAGAATAGCATCATAGTCAAGATCAAAGATGGCAACCCCCGCCCTAGACAGATCTCCCCAGCGAGGGATCTCTGACGCCTCAGGGACCTCACGACTGCGCTGCTGCTACTGGCGTGGACCACCACTGGACCCACTGCTCTGCGCAGAGTCGCGACCAGCTCCACCGCCGCCGCCGCCGCCGCCTCCGCCACCTCCGCCGCCTCCGCTCCCTCCGCCACCACCGCCGCCTCCTCCGCCTCCACTGCTGCCACCGCCGCCGCCACCCCCGCCACCACTCCCACCACCACCCCCACCCCCTCCACTGCCTCCACCACCACCTCCACCGCCCTCGCTAGCCCCTCCAGCTCCCTTGCCCCCCTTGCCCTTGCCGATGCGGCGTCTCCCGCTAGAGGCAGACGCAGCGCCGACCCCGTAGAAACCAACAAGGTCGGCAGCAGCAGCAGAAGCAATAGAGGGCAAGAGGGGGGAGGGGGAACACCCCTCAAAGACGGGGGTGCAAGGGTCACCACGAGAGGCTCCTACAGCGACTATGCTCTTCTCTGCTGATAAGAGGCGCTCCTCGAGGAGGTCAACGGTGAGTGTGGTGGGGCAAACTGAGAGGAAGTGGTCCCTGACTAAGCGAAGAGAGTCAGGGAGCCGGGTGACTATGTAGTAGAGGGTGATGTACATGGGGGGGGGGGGGGGGGGGGGGTTCTTGGCGCAGAACTCAGCAGGAAGCGCAGCGCGGTAGCGAGTGTCACTAGTGCGGAGGTGCGTAATGAGGTCAGCGACTGTGGGAAAGGCAGCAAGGTCAGGGAAGAGGTACGGTAGCATGAGGCGGCTCAGTGCAGCAGTGGCAGGGGAAGAGTAGTGTGCAACTAAAGCGTCGTACAAGGTCTGAGCACTCTTGTACTGGCTAAAGTGCGCACGCTCAGTGGTCGGTAAGTGGCGACGCACAGCAAGACGGGCAGCAGCATCGCGTGTCGCCCACTGTGAGCGAACAATGCTGTCAGAAGTAGCAGGCGGGGCAGGGGAGGCACCAGAGGTGAGGTCGAACATGGAGAGGCCGTCTGCCCTATCGCACTGGAGGAACAGCTAGAGGTCATCGACCCAAACCTCAAAGTCAACAGCACGACCCTCAGTATCTAAGGTAAGAACACTGGGGGTGGCCATGACTGCAGTGGCCTAGCAAGGAGTGAGCTCACCAGTCCGAGTAAGTAGGGCCGGGGCGCGCCGGTAGGACTAGTAGCGGCTCGACGGCAGGGCGGCTCGGCGGCTCAGCGGCTCGACTGCTGGGCGGCTCGGGTGTCGGGCGGCTCGGCTGTCGGGTGGCTCGGCGGTTCAGCTGCTGGGCGGCTCGGCGGCTCGGCTGCTGGGCGGCTCGGCTGTCGGGCGGCTCGGCGGCTCGGTTGCTGGGCGGCTCGGCGGCTCGGCTGCTGGGCGGCTCGGCGGCTCTGCTGTTGGGCGGTTCAGCTCCTGGGCTGCTCGGTAGAGGCGGCGTTGGGGCCGCTAGGGGCGGCGACGAGGCCGCGTAGGGAGGGGAGCGGCGACGGGGCCGTGTAGTGGCGGCGAACGGGGCCGCGTAGGAAGGGGGGGCGGCGATGGGGCCGCATAGAGGCGGTGACAGGGCCGCGTAGAGGCGGCGACAGGGCCACGTAGGGGCGGCAACGGGGCCGCTTAGGGGCGGCGAGAGGGCCGCTTAGGGGCGGCAGCGGGGCCGCTTAGGGGCGGCGACGGGGCCGCGTAGGGTGAGAGGCGGCGACGGGGCCGATAGGGGCGGCGACGGGGCCGCTAGGGGCGGCGACGGGGCCGCGTAGGGGCGGCGTCGGGGCCGCTAGGGGCGGCGACGGGGCCGCGTAGGGGCGGCGACGGGGCCGCGTAGGGTGAGAGGCGGCGACGGGGCCGCTAGGGGCGGCGACGGGGCCGCTAGGGGCGGCGACGGGGCCGCGTAGGGGCGGCGACGGGGCCGCGTAGGGGCGGCGACGGGGCCGCGTAGGGTGAGAGGCGGCGACGGGGCCGATAGGGGCGGCAACGGGGCCGCGTGGGGGGCAGCCACGAAGCCGCTAGGGGCCACTAGGGGCCTGGAAAGGGCGGCGAAAAAGACGCGCCTTGGGCAGGAGCGACTGGCGCTCCGGTCAGAAAGGAAAATTTCAGTGGTGGGCCCAAGGAAGCGTTCCCACTAGGGAACCTGCTCTATACCATGTGAAGAATGAGGAATGGAATGAACTAGAAAGCAGGTGGGTACAAGTAGGAAACCTAGAAGTGTTGTACCCTATAGTGTCTACCCCACTACAGCCTAGACAGACTATAGTATAAGAGTTTGACATAAATATGCATGATAAAATAAACCCAAGCTAGTAATAGCATAACAAAGTCCAAGCAAGCTAGCAAAGCCAGCATAAGCCATCATACTCTCACACCCCCGCTGCCTAGAGCTTCGTTGGCACGGTGTGGATATCTTTGCTCTGTACTATGACGCTATCCTTACTGCCATGTATCCTTTCGCGACAGCACCACAGTCACACCACTGCACTGGTTGCAGTCTCTCTGTTTGACCCCTCTGGGGGCCTGGTTCTTGCACGTTCCTTCACTGTTCTCCCGTGTCCAGCTATTCCGTCTGGCTCACTGTCCGGTCTTCACCTCCCCTCGTTTTCTACAAACTTGGTGAGTAACGCCATCCTTTAGGATGCTTGGGTTGACACCTTTACCCTTGGAGGGCAGCGTGTGGTGATCTGCACGTGTGCGCGGACGGGCCTGTCACCTGGCCATGTTCACCCGTCGACCTAGGTCGAGCCTGTACACACTAACTACTGAGCCTCTTCAGGTAGCTACATCTGTGTCCGCGTCAGGTCAGCTAGCAGCCCCCTGTTCGTGTCACCTCCTGTCGCACCAGACTCTCCTTTGGCACCACCGCCTTGGTCACCCCTCCCTGCCACGCCTCCGTGGCATGCACTCCCACCTCCTTGTCTGTGGTCTTCCCATATCTCTGCCTCCCCTCCCACCCTCGCCTGCCCCTCCCTGCCTACCCTGTGTCGAGGGGCAGCACCGTGCCGCTCCTCACTCCTCCTCGTTTCCCCCGACGACTGCTTCCCCGCAGACTCTCCACATAGACGTGTGGGACCCAGCCAGCGTCCAGGGACAGGGCCGCGAGCGATACTTTCTACTGGTTGTTGATGACTAATCGCGTTACACCACGGTCTTCCCCTTGCGTAGCAAGGGGGAGGTCCCTGATGTCTTGATCCCTTGGATCCGCGCTGTCCGTCTCCAGCTCCGCGAGCGGTTTGACACGGACCTTCCAGTCCTGCGTCTGCACTCTGACAGAGGTGGTGAGTTCTCCTCCGACCTCTTGCGGGACTTTCGTCGTGGGGAGGGCATCCTCCACTCGTTCATGCTTCTGGCCTCTCCGCGGCAGAATGGGGGTTGTGAGCGCTGCATTGGCTTAGTCAGGGAGGTGGCTCGTACCTCCATGATCCATGCGGTTGCTCCCCATTTTCTGTGGCCGTTTGCGGTCTGGTACACTGCGCACCAGCTCAACCTTTGGCCCCGTGTCTCCTTGCCGGAGACCTCGCCTACACTGCGTTGGACGGGGGAGGTTGGCGATGCATCGGTGTTCCGGTTCTGGGGCTTCGTGCCTTTGTCCGCGATACCTCCGCGGACAAGCTTCCTCCCGCGCCGTTCCCTGCGTCTTCCTTGGCTTTCCCCCTGACGCGCCTGGTTGGCAGTTTTACCCCCCCACCTCGCACCGTGTCCTGCCCTCTCAGGACGTCACGTTCGATGAGTCGGTTCCTTTTTACCATCTCTTCCCCTACCGCACTGCCCCACTCCCCCTCTCGCCGCTCTTCTTCACTCCAAGTCCCCCTCTGGTAGACCGCGTGCCCCCTCAGGGTCCTGCTCTTTCAGGTGTGTCTCAGGTAGACCCACTCCCCTTGGTTGAGCCTGTCGAGGTTACTGGTTACTCTGGTGCTGCTCGGGGTGCTGCATATGGGGGTGCTGAGCCTGCGGTTGCGAAGCCTAAGCGTGCGGAACCTGGAGGTGCTCAGCCTGCGAGTGCGGAGCCCGGGGTTGTCGAGCCTGAGCGTGCGGGGCTTGGGGGTGCTGAGCATGCGGGTTTGGAGCTTGGGGGTGCTGCGTCTCAGCGTGCAGAGCCTGGGGGTGCTGAGCATGCGGGTGTGGAGCCTGGGGGTGCTGAGTCTGGGGGTGCTGAGCCTAGGGGTACTGCGTCTACACTATGGGAGCCTCTCTCACCACAGCAACTGCGCAAGTGGTACACTCGGCGCACACACCTTCGGAGTGGCGCTGCTAGAGCTAGAGTCCCTGCAGCTGCAAGTCCTGGAGGTGCTAGAGGTACTACTGGTACTGGAGGTAATGGAGGTGCTGGAGCTACCAGTCCTAGAGGTCCTGCAGGTGCCTCGCCCCAGCGGTCTAGCTAGCGGGAGCCTTTCTCACCACAGCAGCTGCGCGAGTGGTACGCTTGGCGCACCCGCCTCCGGTGTCGCGCTGCTGGAGCTGGAGGCCCTGCCGCTGGAGGTGCTGGCGCTCGAGGCACTGGTGCTGCTGGTGCTGGAGGTGCTGGTGGTGCTGGCACTACTGGTCCCGGGGGTGCTTGTACTGGAGGTGCTGGAGCTGCCGGAGCTCGTGGTGCTGTGAGCTCTAGAGCTGGAGGCACTGGAGCTGGAGGTATTGCAGGTGCTGGAGCTGCTGGTCCTGGAGGTGCTCGTACTGGAGGCGCTGGAGCTGCCGGAGCTGGTGGTGCTGCTGGTGCTGGAGGTGCTAGAGGCACTAGAGGTGCTGGAGCTGCTGGTTCTTGTCAACGGGAGCGTTGTAAGGCCCCGTCCTCGCTTGGGCGGAGCCAACCTTGTGGTCGGATGTGCGGGGGTTGCAGCCGACCTGCAGCAGTGGGCATGGGGGCCACTGCAAGGGCGCCAAGCTGGAGGGCGCCTGGCTGGAGGGCGCCTGGCTGGAGGGCGCCGAGCAGGAGGACGCCGCCCTGGACGCCTGGTTGGTGTCCCGGACGCCTGGACGGCATCCTGGGAAGCTGGACGCCGAGCTGGGCGTCGCCACGACTACCTGGGCGTCTGCACGGCGTCCTGGGGTCCGGACGCCGACCTGGGCGTCCCAGGGGGCCCACACACCGACCTGGGCGTCTGGTCGGCGTCCTGGGAGGAGGGACGCTGCTCTGGAGGCTTGGTCGGCGTCTTGGGCGTCTGGACGCCGACCTGGGGATTCGAAGGCGTCCTGGGCGCCTGGACGCCGGACAGGGGACGCCGGGCATGCGTGGCTGGCTACGGACTGCGCTGGTCAGCCAGGCGTGGTTGCCCGGTCGACCGGAATACTCGGGCGACGTGTGCGAGTGTCGCCAGGGTGGAGTATGCGAGGCCGACCTCGGGGGTGGTATCCCGAGGTCGACGTGGCTGGTGGGCGCAGTCGCTGGCGTGGAGTCTGCCAGGCGTTTGCGCTGTGCTCGTGACAATGTGTGGAGTGCTAACCAGCTGCGCGCACCTGCGAAGCAGGTACACCGTTGTCCTGCGGGTGCAACGCTGTGCAGCCGACTTGGTGCAGCGCCGGCACACCGTGGACTCCGCAATGGTGGAGCGGTGCGAGTGCTGTTGCGCTGGAGCGTGGTCGACCGTGCTGCGCTGGAGGTCGACCAGCACCCTAGCTAGCACTGATGTAGTCTGTGATGCCAATGTTGTTGCTATCATTGTTGTCATGTTTTCCTAGTAAAACTCTTGCCATTTCTCCCCGTGAACTAGCAAGCAGCGTGAACACAAGGAAACGACTAAGTGAATGAACGCAGAGATCACACGAGCACACGTGCCTAGCCCATAGCCTAGATCCCGTTGCAGCAGTTATCTCCGCAGATCTAGAGGTGCTCGTGCCGGGGGTTCTGGAGCTGCCGAAGCTAGTGGTGCTGCTGGTGCTGGAGGTGCTGGGGGTACTGGAGCTGCTGGAGCTGGTGGTGGTGCTGCTGCTGGAGGTGCTGGAGGTGCTGGAGCTGCTGGTCCCGGAGGTGCTCGTACTGGAGGTACTGGAGCTGTTGGAGCTGGTGGTGTTGCAGGTGCTGGAGCTGGAGACCCTGGAGCTGGGGGTGCTGGCGCTGGGGTGCTGGAGCTGTTAGAATTGGTGCTGGAGGCACTGTGCATCGGCGACTGTTTTTCGTTCCGCCCTTGCCG